CCTACCTTCAGGGGAAAAATCCCCACCTGGGGAAACACCCTTTCTCGGAAGAGGGTGACCTGGGTTTAAACCACATAGCGTAAAGGGGGAGCAAACATCTTGAGAACGGTTTTCCTAGTACCCCAGTTCCCCTGGAAACATTTGCGGTGCAGATGTTTCTTCCCTGCAGCGTATGTGTCAAGCAGTAAGGATGGACCGGCTTGCGGCAAAGCACTGACCACTGGGGGGGGGGGGGGGGGGGTGGCAGACGCTCAATGCAGGAGCTGCCATGATGCACACTGGCCATTTAAAAATAAACAGCATGACAGACCTGGTGCCAACAAACCAACACTTGGCTTCCCCCAAGTGGGACACAGGCCCTGCCACCACCCCAGAGCAACACCCACCAAATCGCAACCAACGCTGCCAAGACCCCATGGCGCAAAATGCAGCCCACAGCTCAGCCCAGCCCTGAAAAGGTCGCTGTGGATGCCCGTAATGACATCACATAGCAACGCCCAGCTTCCTCTCCCTAGTGACTAGCCTCCTTAGAGTTTCTTCAGCCCAGGAACCCAACTTGCTTTATAGCCAGGTGCAAACATTTTACAGTTTAACCAAATGTTTGTGAAGCATTTTCCCATGCCATCACGTGGGAAGCTTTATCAAATAAAAATAACTGTGTTCTATTTATATTCATATATTTTAAATGTTATAGTTTCAACCTCTAAGCTTGGCAGGACAAGGTTGCTGAATACTTCGTTAGCTTTTCATAATGTAATCAAGGTCTCATATAAACTCATTTATATGAGAAGCCAATATTTTATGACCAATTGATTCCAGTAAAGTCCAAAGTAAAATTTGCACACATATGCAAATGAGCACTAGCCAAAAAGAATGCTGTTTAAAAGTAAATTTTAAGCTTAATACAAAGGAGAAATTTTAAAATCTCTTTCGCTACTATTTATAAAGTAAACTGAAAGTTATTATTCAAGCATTAAATCTCACCATTAATGAGACACCATAAGTAAAAAGTGAGTTACTTTTACTTGAAATGTATGCATTGCAGTATTGGCCAGCATCTGAAAAGCAACCAAGTTTGTTGCTCTGTTTAAAAGAAAGTGAAAGTTTTAAAAAGAAACTCCCTAAATGTGGCTTAGAAATTACTATGGAAGGAAATACAGAGGGAAACGCAATCATAAAACACCAACATCAGCGGCTAAAATCCCAACTTGAAAAACAAAAGGGGGAATAGTGGAGAAATTTCCTGTAAATAAACTACATCAAACCTTAATTACTTTAAATTTTTTCACTTGTAATGCTGATGGCAAGGCACCCATGGAATTACACCGGTGTCAGAATAAGCCAAAGGAAAATGGTCTGGTTAAATAGAAAGATCCGAAGTCTGGTTTATGGAAGGGCCTTGACTCCTTGTTAACATTTGGTCAAGGATATGCTTGTGTATTTCCAGAAAACTTCTCCAAGCCCATGTGGATTCCTGCAAGAAATATTAACTTCAACATGGATCCAAGGGAGGAACTGACCAGATTAATGAAGACCTTGCACCTGGAACCGCACCCTGTACCTGCAGCTGCAGACAATCAACTACTCCAGCCACAGATAGCAGTAGCCCTAAGCAACACACTGAAGATAAGGAATGGGAGGAGAACCTGGGGGATGGTGAAGAAGACGGTCCAGAAAGCTGAGTGAATTTGTGAAGAGACCAAAACCCCAAGAACGCCTGAGAAAAATCTTTCTTGCCATGCCAGCAGCCACCAGTTGTGCAGCAATACTACCAGGGGCAAATGGGGAAGTATATTGGACTTATGTTCCTGACCCTCCATGGGGAAGACCCCTTACTTGGGCTGATCCCCTGCCTAGTGTAGTCACCAATAATACCAAGCACCTTGGTCATCCAGGAGGACCATGGGTGGAATAAGGAAGCATATGGGCAAAGTATAATTACACGGGTGTCGCCACCCAGCTTGCCTTTTGTATGACACAGAATCCAACTACTGCTCCTTTGTGTATAGAATGAAAGAGAGGTTTCTGGCTAGCATGGACACCAAAGGAGGGGGAAGCAAAAGCCCAAATAATCTACTATCACTACTTGCTCCTGGGAGAGGTACAGAAAATGTAACATTACTAAGACAGCCCCCAACTAAGCCATTATGTAAAAAGTCTTATGAATGGCACCCCACCGAGGAAGAAATAAATTGGCAAGACTGGTATAGTGACTACCCCACCAGCAGCAAACTTAATAACAGTTTTTCTTTTGTGGATTGGAACCCCTACGGGTCTGTGTATAGTAACAGTTGCACCCTAAAATGGAAGGGGACCACATCCCATCTATATGTTGAAGCTAATCACTCCATCTCATGGCATGGAGGATGATTTGTTGGATCTCAATTACAACATGATAATTGGCCCCTACAAAATACGCAAATTAGCTGCTGCACTTGCACCTATAAAATAGTATAGTTTTAACTATAGCTTAGATAATTCCATTTGTACCTTTTGAGGAACTCCCAATAAGACAGTATTTGCCACCACCGATGTATTTGGTCCTTTTGTATTCCTCTCAGGCCCCATCCAGATGTGCCTTATTGCAACAAGCTATATGTATGAGGTGTCATGCACAGGTTGCACACTATCCCATTGTACTAATTCTACATACCAAAAAGATTCCCTCATGATTTTAAAACAACCTGCTTTCGCTTGGGTTCCTACTAACCTAACCGAGCCTTGGGAATCTCATCAAACCTACCAACTGTTACATGACCTGGTAAAAATCTTAAAACGACAAAAAAGATTTCTTGGAATGTTAATAGCAGGACTCTTTGCCCTCACAATGTTACTTACTTCTGTGGGAATTGCTGCTTCATGCATGGTACAAACTGTTCAAACTTCTCAGTTTGTACAACAAGTTAAGGAAAATGTAACTAAGATCTTATCTATACAAAAAAGAATTGACAGCCAGTTTGAGATAGAATTATTGGCACCAAAGTCTACAGTCCTGTGGATGGGTCATAAAATCCACAGCTTAGCGCAAAGAATATCCTTGCAGTGTCATTATAACTTTTCCCAGATTTGTGTTACCCCTGTTCCCTATAATAGTACCTTACACCCTTGCGAATCAATAAAAAATCACCTTCTTGGTGCTTGGGGTAAAGGTAACACAACCCTTGATATTTTAGAATTACAACAGCATATTGTACAATTAGCACAGGCAAACTTACAAACTAATTCCTTAGGTGCCTGGCAGCAATTTAAAAAGGACATGAAAGAATTTAATCCCTTTCACTGGATCTCCTTACATTTGCCTCTTAGCATAACCACTATTGCCTATCTCATTCTTGTCTTATATGTTATTTCTAGTCTGCAGATGTGGAATGAAGAGTCTTAAAAGGACTCAAGCCCCTTCAGGCGGCATATGCTTTTCAAGAATTATGAAGAAAACAAAAAGGGGGAGATGTGGAAGCTATCCATTAACACTATCATGAAAGTGCAACAAGGAACTTGGAAGGCTGATGGACCTTGAACTTTAGCAAGGCTAAAGCTATGCATCAATTGTTCTGTCAAGATAATGGTGGCTCAAGCAATTTCCTGACCTAATAGTCTCAAAGTAAATTTCTACTAATATTTACTGACCTTTAAGATAGTCTGTCTGCTACTGGGTTGCCTGCCTAACTGAGGGCAAGATGTGTATTTTAAAATCGAATAAAAGCTAACAGGGCCAGGGCTTTGGGGAGCCTCTCCACTAGAGAAAGGTTTTCGCCTGGCCCCCACGCCTTTTAAATTCATATTTCTTGTCTAGTGCATTCGTTTGTGCATCAGCCCCTTTTTCAGATCCTGAACTTTAGCTGCAAATGGATGCAGCTTCACAGTCACCTTTGTCACTTAACAGTTGATTAGGAACTTTGAGAGCCAAGGACACAAATGCTAGCCAAGGACCAAGCAGTTGGGTTTTTTTAAATGATAGCAGCTGCAGGCCTGCTATGTAAATTCTTTTCTGCAAAGTAAATGACCATATCTTTAAATCTAAATAAATAAGGTAGATATATATGTGACTGGGTGTACTGAAAATAAAAATAAAAATATGATAGCCGTTTTCTAAAAGTGTTTAAAATATTTACTCAATCAAGATTAAAATTTTCAATAGCTTTAAAACAATGTTATGTAAACCACAAACTACCTTATTAGCATTATTTAACAAGTGAGGTATCCTATTTTCATTGGAAAAGCACTCTTATTTACACTATATTGTCCAGAGTGAAAAGAACAGTGTGTCTATATTGGCATGTAAGCCAATGAATACCATGACTTCTTCCTCCATTTGCCAATAAAAGGCCTGCCACAATCTCAACCCCCAGCTTTGGCATAATGGCTTTCCCTTCTCTTTGGGCCTGCTTACTAATTGGCTGCTTTTCTGTTTCATTAGCAGAAGCATACAATCTCTCAGATCTGTATCCTCCCCTATGGAAGGAGAGTCCTGGTCAGTTCAGTGACTACAGGGTGAAAAATGGAAAGTACATTATTAATCCCTGGGCATATCCTGAGAGATTGGGGATGTATAAAATTCTACTGAGCCAGACAGCCAGTTATTTTGAAAAATTTGCACCAGAAAATGAACAAAATATATTATGGGGACTGCCTCTACAGCATGGCTGGCAATATACTACAGGTAAGAATGACTCTTGTTTTCAGTCTAATGATCTACCAATATAACCACATAGTAATTGGGAAATGGGACTCTCTATATGTCATATGGTGTTTTTCGAATGGATTATTTTATTTTCCCTCCTTTCCCCACATAACCACTATTTTTTCCCCTCCTCCTCCTCCTCCTCCTCCTCCATAAGTCCTTCTTTCATGTGTTGCCCATTTTTAGTAGAAACTGCAATAGGCATACAGTGTAGTTGCCAAACACAAAAAGACTTCATTTCTAATCTATTGAGCATTCTGAAAGTATTTACTGAACTTCTACTAGGTGCCAGACTCCATTCTAAACAGTGAGATGAGCTTTAAAAACAAAGGTTGTATCAAATTAATTTGAATTCCTTAGAGTTCTAATTATGTTACTTTGGGGATGATGGCAAATAGTGGCACCTTGTGCATAAGAGATGTTTTTCTGCAAATTATTCCATTTGAAAATAAAGTACATTCAGTGTTCAGTTAGAAGATATGTTTGTGTGAAAGATTCATAAATTAAAGAATATTTTTGTTTTGGCTGACAGAAGAGCTCATGAGAAACAGTGGTGCTTCTTGCCCACTCCATACTGATAACACTACCAGTAAGGAAATTAGTTCAGTTCTTATGGGGAAAAAATATAGGGAGATAATAGTTTATCTGTGGCATGCGAGTCACATGCAGGAGCTACTGAGGTTGGCAAGCCACCCATCTTAGTCAAGGTATATCTTGAGACTCAAATCTACTTCTATTTATCTGGCTTTCCCTTAGCATCAAAAAGACCATGGTCCAGGAGAAATCGTGAACATAGAGTTCACTATGGGAGGCGTGCCAGTCTCAGGGGACTGCAAGCCCGTAGTAGCAGGAGGCTGCATGGGCTGGTAGATGAATGCCTTTCTTGCTCTTGCATCACATTCACACATTAGGACCAAGCCTGACTAAACTCACCTAGTGACAAGCTTATATGTGCCCAGCATTTTCTAAGAGCGAAGTGGAATGTGCGTGTGGAAATAATATTTGAGACACCTTCCATGCCATCAAAGACATTACAACACCATTGGAACAGGAAATATAGCAAAAATTAAACAGAGAACAAATACATAATAACTTCTGTATAAAAGCTAAAAGTGCAAACCTGGAAAGAGAGTGGAGTCAGTAGTAATAATTAGTAATGTTATTATTCCCATTTTATAACTAAGGCATAAGTGGGAAGTTATTTAGCAAAGATGAACTGAATAAATGACAGCAGGGATTTGGTTTGCCTGTAGGTCTCTTTTAATCTGTGTGCCTATTACCACCCTCATTTTGAAGGGAAGAAGAGAAGGAACTAGAAGAGAGAATAATTACAAAAGTAAATAATATTCAAGACAGGTAATTCAAGAGTACAAAATTGTAGTAATAAAAAAAAATCGGTTCAGAGAAGAGAAATGAAGGATAAAGAGTGATAGGAAGAAGAATACTAGTCATCAGAAGATACATGTTTAAACAGTCAGATGGCTGCCAGTTGGGAGGGTGTTTGGGGGGTCGGTATAGGGAGTGAAGGGATTAAGAAATACAAATTGGCCCTGGCCGGTGGTGCTCAGTGGTTAGAATATTAGCCCAAACATCAAAGGGTCTCAGGTTAGGTTGATGGTCAGGGGCATGTACCTGGGTTGCAGGTTCAATCTCTGGCCTAGGTTGGGGCACGTGCAGGAGGCAACCTATCAATGTGTCTCTCTCTCTCTCCCCACCTTCCTTTTACTCTAAAAAAATATTGATGGAAAAATATCCTTGGGTGAGGATTAACAACAAAAAAAGAAGTACAAATGGGCAGTTATAAAATAGTCACTGGGAAGTGAAGTACAGCATAGGGAATATGTAGTCAGTAATGTTGTAATAACTATATACAGTGTCAGCTGGATACTAGACTTATAGGGGGGATCACTTCTTAAGTTATATAAATGTATAACCACTATATTATACACCGGAAGCTAATATACTACTAGCAACTGTAATTGAAAAACAAAAATAATTAATTAAAAAGATAAATGTGTATCTTTACCAAAAAAAAAAAGCTCACCTAATTCAGTGACAATTATAAACAGTTTCAAAATGTGCCTAATAAATAATTTGTGTATCTCCTCTCTGCTAGGCAGATTAGCGGATCCCAGCCAGAGGACAGACTGTGGCTATGATTCTGGAGATCGTTTGTGCATCTCTGAGGACAGTTGGTGGGCTGGTAAGTTCATTTAAATAGCAAAATAGGTAATAGTCCCCCCCCCTCCTCCCCCCCCCCCCGAAAAAAAAACCCACAAAAACAACAACCCCGTATTCAACATAACATTCTAGGGACAGAGACACAACAAAAATATTACTATTTCTTTGTTAAAATAAATCTTCATCATGTATCCTGTGGCCTGTATGCCACATTCTAGGATGTAACAGCCACAAGTTATGATTCCTTAGGACATATTCTGCTTTTCACAGAAGGACTGGAACAAGGAACTTCAAGGGACGATGGCCTGACAGACCAGCACTGGCAGTTAGGTGGGAGGTCCTGCTAGTGACAGGGAAATGGGAGGACAAGAAAATGATCCCTTTTCTTATTTTGCTCAGAGCAAGTGTGTAGCTTTTAAATCCGTAAATAGAGATTCACCTACCACAAATCATTTTATCAAGCAGGAATCTAAGGCTTTAGTCAGATACTGAATACAAAAATAATCAGAAGGCATTTTCTAATTCTTCAGTGTTATTCTGTGTTTTGCAATTAGTTTATACACAATTAGTTTGCACACAATTTCTTAAAGATATTTCTCAATAATTAGAAACAAGATCTCACTAAAGTTCACTTTTCTGGAGTGACACACATCATATCAACCTTTACATATTTTTTCAAAAATGACATGGATTGGTTCTTCTCAAAGACCCACATAGAATCAAGGCCACAGGTCTAGAATCAAGTCCCTGCCCCAGCCTGCCTTCCTGTCCTCTCACCTTCCTACCCCCTCATCCGCGCCAACCAATACATGGCTTTTATTGCATCTTTAAAATATCACATTAAGTCTGAGGAATCATCCGAATCTTGCTATTGCTGTAGCTGGAATACTAAGATCTTGTTCATCAGCCTGCTGAACTGGTCCTTTTTCAGAAACATAGACACTATCCAACATATTTCTGATATCCTTGTTTTTAACTGTTGTGGCTTGCTGAATCAAAGCAGCTGAATTTGATTAAAGTTCAATGTTGTTTCCTTGAAGAATTAACTCATCTTTCTGGGCTTGAGATACTGAAAAAGACACTCCTGGCCTCATCTGAACCCTGCAAATGTCCTTTTCACCCAAGAAGTTTCTGATTTCAACAAGGGAACTAGTATGAATTAATGGTGTTCATGGGGGAAGTGAGCATACACAGACCTCGCCTTGTAACGGAAGCCCAGCGACACACCCTTGATCATGTTCTGTACATGGCCGCAGCCTGTTGCTTTCTATTTCCACACCGCTTGTCAACCCGGAGCCGCTTCTTTTTCTTTCCAAGGAGACTGAGTTCTATCTACAGTGATGTGTTTGAAGTGCCTCTGGGGCCTTTATAAAAATAACTGTGCTTTCTTTCAGGGTGATGTCGACAGTTTTCGGAATGCTGACAGTCTGATTACTGACAATGGTCTTCATCCTCTCAGTAGATGTGGCAAAAGAGCTAGATCAAGTTTTTTTTTTTTTTTTTTTTTCAGATTTACTTAGTACAGTGGGGCCTTGACTTACGAGTGTCCCCACTAACGAGTTTTGGTCTCTCGGCTGATTTTTTTGCATTGAGTTGATAGAGTAATTTGAGTTAAGGAGCTCCTTAACGAGCTCGGTCTCAGAATGAATTAAACTCGTAAGTCAAGGCCCCACTGTAGTTTGAAGTATCAGCCTGCTATAGTGGGTGTGGGACTGCATTCACAAATGGATATGTATGATGAAAAATTTTCTGCATCACCAGTGGGAATCAGTATAGGCTTTACAGCCAACTATATTATAATATCTAAATCTGCTGAAGTAGGTTATATGCAGAGAGAAAAACAACTTAATTCATTGTTAATTTAGTTATCCAAAGATCTATTGTCAACACTTAATCCAACATTTAAAAAATATATATATTTTATTGATTTTGTACAGAGAGAAAGGGAGAGGGATAGAGAGTTAGAAACATCGATCAGCTGCCTCCTGCACACTCCCTACTGGGTATGTGCCCGCAACCAAGGTACATGCCCTTGACCGGAATCAAACCTGGGACCCTTCAGTCCGCAGGCCTGTGCTCTATTTACTGAGCCAAACCGGTTAGGTCCAACATTTTTACTTTAAAGACCTAATGTAATGTAAGGACTTTGTAATGTCATGATTGCTCATTGAACTTGCTTAAACAAAATATCAATACTATAACCACATTAAAATATTTTAGAAAAAAGTCACATTTCGTGGCAAAACCTCAGTTAAAAGTATTGTATTATTCTGTGCACAAGTAGATACCTATCTTCCTTATATACTTACTGCTTTGAAAAGAAAATATTACCGAATCCATTAAAATGATGTTTTGTTTTAAAACATTATAGTCAACTACTTTAACTTATATTTATGATTGTAGAGATATTAACAGAAGCATATTAAAGTTAGATATATAATTCCTACTGAGAATTTCAATTTTTTTTCAATGACTGTTTTAATATATTGCTGGATCTGTGAGTTTTTGCTTAATGGTTTACAGATTTACTTAAAAATATCCTTGATCACATTTGTTAGTGCTTGTGGTGATAATAGGTATTTTGCTCTTACAGACATGAATTACTTTCTCTCCGCATTGCCCTTCCTTGCTGCGGTTGGCTCTGACATAATGGGGATATCATCAGACCAAGTCATACTTTTGCCACCACCCAAGGATCAAACAAAGTTTTGTCTTAATGTTTCTACTTGTCAGTCATCCTTCCCTAAGACAATGAGAAAGTGGAATGTCTTCTACCAGGTTCCATTTTATATTTGTAATTTATTCTCCTAAGAGGTGGTAAAATAAGGTCTTTTTTTTTTTGGTAAAATGCTTTGAATTAGGTTTTTGTGTGCATTATACAATATTTTCCTCAGTATTACAATGTAAATTTTTATGCAAGTTATATTAATATTATTACACTGCAGCAGGACATTACATGCCATTAACATCCTCTGACTCAATAAAGCATTAACATGAAATTTATCCACTCATCTCACCCTAAAAAAATTATATGTAAATGTGAGAGCACCCAGGATATAACACTGAATGAAATTATTCTGGTTAATTGAACCTTTAAATCACACATGGGATAACTCTTGAGAGAAATATGATTATAGAGTTGTTTTTAGAGCAGGCAACTTATTTATTTATTTTATTATTTTTTAAAAATATATTTTATTGATTTTTTACAGAGAGGAAGGGAGAGAGATAGAGAGTTAGAAACATCGATGAGAGAGAAACATCAATCAGCTGCCTCCTGCACATCTCCCACTGGGGATGTGCCCGCAACCCAGGTACATGCCCTTGACCGGAACCGAACCTGGGACCCTTCAGTCCGCAGCCCGACGCTCTATCCACCGAGCCAAACCAGTTTCGGCAGCAGTCAACTTATTTAAACTGCATTAATAAATGACCACATGTAGGTAGAACTAACAGTTATGGGGCAATTAAAAGAAAATATTCAATGAGCAATATAAAATACATTGGTGAAGCATAGACATGGACCAAGATCAGTGCTGAAAACAGAGATTTCTTAGCGATACAGTTTTAGTTTGTTATTTTAGATCAGTTTAAATTAAATATTATAATAATATTTTCCTTTTCTTAATCTTAAACTTTTGTTATAATTTCAAGTATGGTAGCAGAGAAAAAATGATAAAAATAAAGTATTGATTGCTGGGAAAATATTTGTACTTCATTTCTTATAAATGCATTCAATATTACTACAAATAATAGGTAATTACTATAGTCTTTCCAGAGTGTTAGTCACTGATGGCTTACACAAACTAGTTCTTAGAAACAAAATTCTCCTTGGATGTAGACTATTGTTAAATTGTAAATTTAAACAAGATGAAATTGTAGGGAAATAAATTGTTATATTTTTCTCAAATATGAATTAATTTCTCCTCTTTACTATAGCATTTGCAGTTACCTTCTAGTAGCTTTGAGGACTTATTGAAGTACTTATGGGCTGCACATGTATCAGCTTTGGAAGATGCTTACAAAATATTTGAAGATAGGTAAGATTGGATCCCAAATAATTTTTATTTAATATGGCAAATAATTTGGGGGTTTATTTATGTTTTTATATTCTTCTTCTAACATAACTGTCAATCTTCCTATTAAATAACATATCTAATAATCGGGGTATTGAATGATGAGGTGTTTATATTTTAGTATGGTCAGGCTCAAAAAGTGAAGAAAGGACACAAATTTGAGAAGAAATATCTCATACCAAAAAACCAACACATAGAACTTACAACCAATTTCTCTCTATTTAAGAAAAAGACATTTTATTCGTTATTTTGATTGCAGACATATAATATGACTAGAGGCCCAGTGCATAAAATTTGTATACGGGTAGGGTCCCTAAGCCTGGCCAGCGATCAGGGCTGATCAGGGCCTTCAGGCTGCTGGCAGGGGCCTTCCTTCATTCCACGCTGCCCCCTGGTGGTCAGCGCATATCATAGCAAGCGATCGAACTCCCAGTCTCCCCGTTGAACTCCTGAGGGGACAATTTGCATATTAGGCTTTTATATATATAGATAGGGGCATACTTGGGTGAAAAACCAGTATCAGGGTTAGCACACTTGAAAGAAAATGTAGCACAGCAGGGAGCAGACAGCATTTCAAGAAGAATGAGTCTGTTAAAAAATTGCAAGTTGTTCAGCATGCTTAGATGGCTGTTGAGAATAGGAACCACGAATTATAGAGTTATAAAATAATTTCTACACCCTTAACCTCACCACTGTGATAATTGTCCCCCAAATATATGAGAGTTTGGTTTCCCAGAAGACTGTATCCTGTAGGAAAAGCCCATGTATTTAGAAAATTGGACAAGAAAAGCACACATGTATTTCCCTGGGATGCTCAGTATTTCGGGGGTCTCCTAACTTCTGGAAATCAATAGTGACAAAGGATGGATGAATCTAGCAAAAACACTGCCTTCGAATCTTTGATTTTTATCTGCCCATTTCTAAAGAGTATTACTTAGTAATTGTCTAATATTTAGTTATCATATAATATGCAAAGATAAGGTATCTTTTTAAAAGTGATAAAACTCAAAATAAAATATAAAAACCTAATTGGATGCCCCTTTACAAATTTAAAATTTTAACTACCTATATTTGTATTTTCAAAGGTAAGTACTCAGGCCCTAGCTGGTTTGGCTCAGCAGATAGAGGGTAGTCTCATGGACTGAAGGGTCCTGGATTTGATTCCAGTCAAAGGCATGTAACTCGGTTGTAAGCTCAATCCCGTATGTGGGAGGCAATCAATCAATGTGTCTCTCTCATATCGATGTTTCTCTCTGTTTCTCCCCGTCCCTTCCACTCTCTAAAAAGCAATGGAAAAAATATCCTTCAGTGAGGGTTAAAAAAACACACCATACAATAAAAAACAACAACAAAAAACACCCACAAAGGTAGGAACTCAGGCCATCACATTCTAAAATTAAGATCTACATTCTTCGTTTGTTGACAGAAGTTGAATTTTTTCTAGAAAACACTGAGTCTGAAATTCTTAGTGGACTAATTATAATTATACATGTGCCCACTTGTCTTTTAGGTTGCAAGACTATTCTAAACCAGAAGCAGATTTTGGAAAAAGTTGGTATGTGGATGTGGGATATATAGCTACAGCCAAGTTTCCTACAACCTTGATTAGAACACATGAATTCCAGAAGTGTCTGCCACCACGAATGCTTGTCAGTGGGGACAGAGCCCCCTACATCAGTGACTTTACTAAACTTCAGAACATAGTCCTGCTTGGTTTAAATATTCTTCATGAAGTGGATAACGCTACAGGTAAGGGCCTCATTAAAAATACCTTAAACAAGCCCTTGCTGGTTTGGCTCAGTGGATAGAGTGTAGGCCTGTGGACTGAAGGGTCCTGGGTTCAATTTCGGTCAAGGGCATATGCCCAGGTTGCGGCCTTGATTCCCGGTAGGGGGCGTGCAGGAGGCAGTTGATCAATGATTCTCTCTCATTATTGATGTTTCTATCTCGCTCTCCCTCTCCTTTCCTCTCTGAAATCAATAAAAATAGCCCTAACTGGTTTGGCTCAGTGGATAGAGCATCGACCTGCAGACTGAAAGGTCTCAGGTTCGATTCCGGTCAAGGGCATGTACCTTGGTTGCGGGCACATCCCCAGTAAGAGGTGTGCAGGAGGCAGCTGATCGATGTTTCTCTCTCATCAATGTTTCCAACTCTCTATCTCTCTCCCTTCCTCTCTGTAAAAAATCAATAAAATATATTTTAAAAAATTAATAAAAATAAAGGCCCGGTGCATGAAATTAGTGCACAGGTAGGGTCCCTAGACCTGGCCAGCAATCAGGGCTAATCAGGGCCTTCTGGCTGCTGGCCGGGGCTTTCCTTCACTCTGCGCCGCCCCCTGGTGGTCAGCACATGTCATAGTGAGTGATTGAGCTCCCTGTCTCCCTGTTGAACTCTTGAGGAGACAATTTGCATATTAGGCTTTTATACATATAGATACTTTCAAAGAAAATCATGCTTTCCTATGGGTATCCATGTTACACATTTTAAAAATATATATATTTTTATTGATTTCAGAGAGGAAGGGAGAGGGAGAGAGAGATAGAAACATGAATGATGAGACAGAATCATCGATCGGTTGCCTCCTACACACCTCTCACTAGGGATTGAGCCTGAAACCTGGGCATATGCCCTTGACTGGAATCGAACTCAGGACCCTTCAGTCCACAGGCTGAAGCTCTATCTACTGAGCCAAACCAACAAGGGCTTCATGTTACACATTTTGATCTTTCCACTCATGATCTGTCCTTATTGACCATGAAGCCACCAGACTATCTCAAGCCCATGTTTTTAAATCTATAACCCATATTCTGTCTTTCTTTCCTTATACATGGCTCTTCAATTTAGAATGAAATAAAGGACATCAAAATAAATCCTGCTATGATTAATGGACTTATGTAAGCTCCCACCATCCAGTCTTACTAATCATGGATGAAGCACTCTGCTCCATTTCCTCAACTGTAGGATTTCTGAGTAGAGTGAATTGATAATTGTCTGTTTGAATAACCATAGTATCCCAAATTTCCAGATATGCTCTTATGCAGTGAACCAAGCTTAAAACAATTAAAAAAATTGATATTTTTAAAACAAACAAAACAAAATAAAAAATCTGAAAGATATAAAAACACAAATACGTTAAATATATGATTTGAAATCTTATTTGCATTACTTAGAGTAACAAATACACCCAAATATTTTAGGGGCTTTACGTAATTGGAGTTTTTTGCTCCAGTAATGGTGCCATATTTCACTGATAAAAAAACCAGGGGCTTCATAAGTTTAAGTAATTCCCCAGATGGTGAATGACCCAGTAAGTTTGCATCCTGGCAGTATTATTTTAAAGCCTGTGCTTTTTCTCCTTAACAAATCATCCTGCATACAGAAATCCATGCTCCAGGATAGTTTGGAATGTGGTATTAACACTTTGCTCTTGTTGGATGTATCAAGGCGAGACTTGATAACTCAGTGTTACCAAATCTAAAAATTTCAAACTAGCTTAACTTCTTCACTAGTCTAGATACAGAGAAGAGAAAAAGTGCTTTCTCAGGTCTTAGGACATTAATAGATTAGCCAACTGAGAAACATGAAACCAAATGCTCTCACCCACCAATCAAGTAATATGCTACAACTACATGGAGAAGAGTAAAGGATGTTTATGAAAATTAAATGGACATTAAGCATTACCCTCCCATCCCCAGAGTCTAGGAAGATACTTTCAAACTGCTGCCTTTTGTACATTAACAGATCTAACCTGAAATATGTTTTAGTTTTAATCATCATTTTAAAAACTCTATTTTACTACTTTCTTAAAACACATTTTAATTGCTATACCTTTTACTTATTTTTAAAAGTACATCTAAGTATATGTATATTCAATGTTTAAAAGTCTAAGTGTATAAGCACATGAAATGAAAATAAAAATCTTCATCATCTCTCCTCAATCACATCTCTTAGTCTTTCACCTATTTTAAAAAATAGTTTTTGGTGCAAATTTCTAGGATTTTTTTAAATAAATCAAACAGTGCAAATAAATGAATAAATAAAACCTGTGCAGTTTGTACAAATGAAATCACACTCACTGCTCTGCACTATACTTTTTCAACTGAAAATTTTTCTTGGAGCTTTTCCTGTATCAGAAGGTGTTAATCCAACTATTTTCTTTAGAGGATATGTAGTGTTTTATTTAAAAAATTATACCTGTAGAGATTATTTTATGTTATAAGCTATTGGCAATATAACAACAAAGGCATTTTATACATACTTTTTGGGCACAATTTATTATCTTACCAATACATTTTTAGAAAGGAAATGAATTAAAATCAATGGGCCATATATTGCCAACTGGTACTCAAAAAAGTTTTCAGGACTTTACATTTTTGTCATAAAACTATGAATTAAGGTTCTTCTTTTTCTCCAACCCACTACCAAATAACAATTTCTATAATTTGTGTTAGTTTATTATGTAGAAAAAGTTGCTTAACTATTATATGAATTTATAGTCTTTGAATGTGTTCATGCACTTTATCCAGTTTTCTATGGAGTTGCTTAATTTTTCTTATTGATTTTTATAAGAAGAGCTGGTCAGTTAATTTTAAAAACATGTGTAAAATTATCATGTAATGAACATATAATATTTGTATGTAAAACACATATAATTTTATTTAAAATAAACATTTCAATAATTGGGCTTAAACTTACATGTAAAAATTTTATATCTTTGCCAGGGTCATCCTCTTTGACTGTATGGAAAATTTTAATGAAGACAGAAGGTGCAAGAAAACTAGTTCTAGAGCTTTCAGAAAAAGTTCTTGAAATCTTTAATCAAAAATTTCTGGAGCCGGAACCGGTTTGGCTCAGTGGATAGAGCGTCGGCCTGCGGACTGAAAGGTCCCAGGTTCGATTCCGGTCGAGGGCATGTACCTGGGTTGCAGGCACATCCCCAGTAGGAGATGTGCAGGAGGCAGCTGATCGATGTTTCTCTCTCATCGATGTTTCTAACTCTCTATCTCTCTCCCTTCCTCTCTGTAAAAAATCAATAAAATATATTAAAAAAAAATTTCTGGAAATAATGAATCAACAATAAAAGTTTCTAATTTTTTGGGCAATAGAAATTTCAAAATTTAACACGATCATAACCAGAATAGTTTTCTTGATTCTGTTGTTTTTTATTTATGCTGATTTGTTAGAATTTTGTCCAGGCATACCTAATTTTATTTTATTTTATTTTCTTAGAGTTAGTATATAAAAGAAGGAGGCTTTGTGAGGCTCCTACGGTTTCTGGTGGGAGTTATTATTATTATTATTTTTTATTGTCTAAAGTTTTCCATATGTCTTCTTTTACCCCAATTGACCCTCCCCCCCCAAGCCATTCCTACCCCAGGCAAGCCCCCACTGCCCCAGTGTCTGTGTCCATTGGTTATGCTAATACATGCATACCTAATTTTAAATTCAAATTAATGTTATGATTATTTTGTTTAATTAATAATTCTTAATTTTTAATCCATCAATATATAATGTTTAGCCTTTAAAGAAGATTGTATTAAACTATTATAAATCACTGAGAAATTAATAAACAGACATTAAACTCACATGGCTCTTTTGTTATTAACATATGTAACCTAATTTTATGAAATTTAGGTTAATATCTTGCTGATTTATAACCAAAATTCAGAACATTTGAAAAATCCTATCTATTAAAATTTTAAAACTCATAAAACTTAACTGGCCAGTAGAATACCTAAGTTGTCATTTTTGTGTGTGCATTTTTACTGATCATAAGTTTATAGCAATTGTATACTAAGTTTCCTCTCCATGGTCCACATGTGATAATGAATGTTCAAGGAGAGAATGCACTGGCGGGAAGTGGTGACATCCAAAGCTGACATGAAGCTTTCATATGAGGATTTCCCAGGGCTTTGTCAGACTAATTCTACCTGTTATGCCCAGATTTCAGGATCCCCAAAAGACCACCAGGGAGCCAGCCGAGTCCGATGCAAAAAGCAAAAGAGTCTTTATTCGAGCTAGCTCGAGCTCCCCATCTACCACACTCGCCGATGCAGCGGCAGGAGGCAGAGAGAGAGAGCTTTGTGTGGAGCGGGGTTTTATAGGGGGGGTTGGAGTAAGGGGAGGAGAGAGGACTGTGGGCCCTGCCGATTGGCCAGGCGTGAGTCAGGGTCTTGTTACACAGGATGTAGTTGTGTCTATGGCGCGCACTTCCCTTGATTATCATTGGTTAGTTTAAAGAAATCCTAGGTGTGGCTAGCAGAGGCTTGGGCTTCCGGGAAGAAGCTCCTCGCTGAGCACATGGCTAATGGCTGCTGCCCAAAAATGGAGGATCCGGGGCAAGATGGAGGGCGTAGTCCTCGCCCTTTCACTACCCACTAACTGTTAAAAATTAGATAAATTGGTTTGAATAATATGGTCACTGGAATAGGAAAGGCATAGTTTAAATCCCAGCTCTATTGCTTCCCCATGTGAACTTGGGCAATTTTTGTAGTCCCCTATACACCTCAGTTATTGTTAAAATGAAGATTATCATTTAAATAAAATAAAAACATACTTATCAAGTGGCTTAGTAAAATACTTAGTAAAATCAAAACATACTTATCAAGTGGCTGAGACTCTTCCCAATGAATAGGATGCATTTACAAAAGTCAGCAGTTGTTACAATAATTATGCTGAGAGATGGATAACACATGTTGTATTGTTGGGGCAGTAAAAACATCTTTGATGAGCCAAGACCATGAACATGTTTTTAATTAATCCAAAAACACATGAAAGATTTTCTGTTAGCTGTATATAACACGGGCAGTGGGGTAAACAGCCTCCCCAAACGATCTGAAATAATTACACATATATAACATGTCTATACAAAACCAAATTCTTAAACTACTTGAAGACAGATGATGCTAAATTGGCAAAACCGCTCTCAGTAAAAAGAGAAAAATCAACAAATATCAGTGCCCCCGTAATACAGATTTTGATCCCATTCTGATATCAGGAAGGGGAAAAATCCACCCCCCCCCCATCTTAGTTCTTACAGCTGGACTGGTAATTAAATAATAAAATTGACACAAGACTAGATTCACAGGAGGGGAAAAAGTCAATTTAATCTGTGTGCACAGAAGAATCACAATGTGAAATGATACTCAGGTCATAAAACAAGGCTCAAAAAAATGGTCAAACTAGGTACCCTTTTTATACTTTTTAGACAAAGAAACAATACATTTGTGAGAAATTGACAGGACAAAGAAGTTAGGCAGCAAATTAGTGAAGGTGTTACAAGGTTTATTTATACAGGCTTTTTAACTCTGGATTTTATAACTTGAGAAAAGGTCATCTCTCAGCCCTTAGGAGCAGGGAGAGCACCTATCACAGGGAGATTTATTTCCTGAATTTAGAGAGACAGAGGAGAGTCAGAGCACTGCTCCCACTCCTGCACATCCCAAATCATTTTAGTTTGAAATAATTAGTATGCTGTTGTGAAATATCTTTGGGAGTTGTCCCTGGGCCCCAAAACTGGAAAGCAAAAGTCAACCAAGAAAACCTGTCAGGTAGACTGAGGAGGGTGGACACTAGCAGAAAAATTATCATGAAGCAAAAGAAAACTGTAAGCCTTCACTCTAAACAGAGTTAAGTATTCTCAAACAAGACTTTGAGAATATAAAACCCAACTGGAATTAAATATTAAAAAATGAAGAATAGAGATGAATTGAAAAAAAATGTAAAACTGAAAAAAAACTTAATAAAAATCAAGAAAGAAACAGATTAAAAAACCCCCAAAAAATAGTTAATAAAACTGAAGAAATAAATAGATGAAAAACACAAAATCATCTCAGAAATGAAAAGCTGAGTTGCCTAAGGGAGGGCAAACTCAAATGAAATTTTTAAAGTTTGATTAACATAACCATGAGTAGATAACAGCTCAGATAGATCTGAAGAATGGTATAGAAAGTTCATACCTAGACCAAATACATATGAAAGCATAGTACATGACAAATATGGAATCCCATGTCACTAGAATAGAGAGTGACTTGTTAATAAATGCTGCAGGGAAAAGGTAAAATAAGAAAAATTAAGTAGCCAGTTGGAAAAAGATTAAAAAAAAAGTTAATTTCTCATACACCACGCAAAACAAACTCTGACTGAATTAGCAATCTACACTAATAAAAGAGAAAGATGCAAATTGACCGTACCTTTGCAATGCCCACCAGCCAATCAGAAGTGAGTATGCAAATTAACCCAACAAAGATGGCAGGTTAATTTGCATATGCAGGTGCCGAGTGGCGGGGGGGGGGGCGAGACACTTGCATTGTTGCCATGGCGACGATGCAGGCGTTCCACACTGCCCCAGCTGCTCTGGGCCTCTGGGCAGCATGGGAAGGCTGCAAGGTGGCTCCAGCAGGAGCAAAGGCGGTGCCGGCAGCCAGGGGAAGGAAGGCCCATTCTTGCACAAATCTTTGTGCATTGGGCCTCTAGTCTATAATAATAAAAGCATAATATGCTAATTAGACTGGACGACCTTCTGGACTACCTTTGGGATGAAGCTGGGGCTGTGAGGGCCAAGCCCCTTGCACAAATTTCGTGCATTGGGCCTCTAGTCTAGATATAAAGAAATGAAGCCATAGATATGCAAGAGGAAAAATTGGGTGAAAAACCTATTAAACTTTGGTGGAGGCATAGGCTTTTTAACTTTATTGTCTGAATGCAATGAAAAAGAAATGATTTGTCAACCTAACAATTGAAAATGTTTGCATGACAAAACCAGCAAAATGAAGTTAAAATGCAACTTACATAGAAGAAAAGATTCCTAACATATATTATTGACAAAGAGCAAATAGTATATATTTTTTATTTTATTTAAAACGAGAGGCCTGGTGCACAAAAAATTGTGCACTCGGGGGGCTCCCTCAGCCCGGACTGTGCCCTCTCGCAGTCTGGGACTCCTTGGGGGATGACCACCTGCTGGCTTAGGCCCGCTTCCTGGGGAATTGGGCCTAAGCTGGCAGTCAGACATCCCTCTGGCAGCCCGGGAATTCTCAGGGGATATCTACTTGCCAGCGGGAAGCAGGCCTAAGCTGCAGTTGGACATCCTTAGCGCTGCTGAGAAGGCGGGAGAGGCTCCCACCACCACCGCTGTACTGGCAGCCGTCAGCCAGGCTTGTGGCTGAGCAGAGTTCCCCCTGTGGGAGAACACTGACCACCAGGGGGCAGCTCCTGCATTGAGCATCTGCCCCCTGGTGGTCAGTGTGTGTCATAGTGACCAGTCATTCCCAGTCGTTCTGTTGTTAGGGTCAATTTGCATATTACCCCTTTTATTATATAGGATAGAGGCCTGGTGCATGGGTGGGGGCAGGCTGGTTTGCCCTGAAGGGTGTCCCGGATCAGGGTGGGGGTCCCGCTGGGGTGCCTGGCCAGCCTGGGTGAGGGGCTGAGGGTTGTTTTCAGGCTGGCCACAGCCCCTTCAGGGTGGAGGTCCCCCCTGGGGTGTCTGGCCAGCCTGGGTGAAGGGCTGATGGCTGCTTGCAAGCTTGCCAAGCCCCCCAGCGGGGACCCTCACCCCATGAGGGTGTGGCCATCCTGGGTGAGGGGCTGATGGCTGTTTTCAGGCTGGCCACGGCCCCCAGCCACCCAAGCTTCCAGTGGAGGCAGGCTGGAAGCAGGTATCTGGGATTTATTTATCTTCTATAATTGAAACTTTGTTGCCTTGAGTGGAGGCCACAGCCGGCCAGGGCAGGCAGGAAGCTTGGCTTCCTCTATCGCTGGGGCAACCAAGCCTCCTGCTTGCTCCAGCTCCGTGGCTGCTGGCCGCCAGCTTGGTTGGGTTTATTTGCATATAGTCGCTCTGATTGGCTGGTGGGCGTGGCTTGGGGCATAGCGGAGGTGCGGTCAATTTGCATGTT